TGTTCTATGCAAACGCTTATGTATACATTTGTATACACACTAAAAGAACAAAACATCAAAACAATAAAAAGATATCCCGGAAGAAGTCATGTCTGATGCCTAAGTCACAAACTCTACAAGTTCATAGGGAAATGTGAGACCAGACATTCAGGCTTTGCACTGTTTCAGAACGACATCTGGTAACTTAGGAAGACGTTTGTTCATGAATAGTCTGTATGTGGGAGAATCAACTCAGAGCACAGGCCACACACACACACACAGACACACACACAGATACACACACATGCATAGGCCACACACACACCACACACACAGACACACACGGACACACACGGACACACACACATAGACACACACAGACGCACACACACACACACACACACACACAGAGGCCACACACACACACACACACACACACGTGCACAAGCCACACGTGCACACGCACGCACGCACGCACGCACACAGACACACACCTGCCTCTAGTGTACAGCTCGAGTGCTAAGCAGGCATTGGAGCAACTGGAGCATGCTGGGTTGCCTTTGGGCAACTTGTGTGCTGAGATGAAGAGCCTCTTCACTTGAAGAGTGGGGAAAATAATGCTCTGAGCATCCAAGTGAGAGCGCTGTGAGGTGGGCAGAGCGGGCTGGCACGCACTCAGAAGGCTTGGGTAGCTTTGGCTTTTGCTTCTCTTTTGTGTTTCTAAGACAGCAGTGGCTTGCTACATAGCCCAAGCTGGTCACAGACTCACTATGTAACCCATGCTGGCTTTGAACTTGTGATCTTTCTGCCTGAGCCTCCGGAGTTCAGGGAAAATAGCTGCAGGGCACCTCACTCAGCTCCATTTTCCTTCTTAGCCTGCCCAATCAGCACCTGTCTTGAGTCTGGGTTGTTCTGACCAAACATATCCTTGGCTTCCTCCCAATAATTGTATCTTCGGGTCAGTTATGGAATAAAATACTATGTTTCCTCTACCATCCCCAGGGAAATAAGTAGCTTGTGCTGTTCTTGCTCCTGGAATCGAACCCTGAAGTAGTCGTGAGCCTCTGAATGAGGCAGAAGCCCCGGCTCTGAAGTTTCCGGTTGCTTCCCATCGCTTTCCTTCTTAGCCTTCTGAATGCCAGCAACACGGGGTTCTCGAATCTATGCAACAGGACGCTTCTTCATGGCCCCTGGCCTACTTCCTCTTGCTTCCCTTCCCATTTCTTCAGTTTTGATTCTAAAAGCATTAAATTATACATAAAGTTATAAAAATACTAAAAACTATCAAAGAATAAACAAAAATATTCTATTGAAAAACAAAATACTAGCTGGGCGGTGGTGGCGCACACCTTTAATCCCAGCACCCAGGGGGCAGAGGAAATGGATCTCCATGAGTTCGAGGCCAGTCTGGTCTACAGAGCATGTTCCAGGACAGCCAGGGCTACACAGAGAAACCCTGTCTCAAAACCTTTCCCAAAAGAAAAAGAAATAAAAATAAATTATTAATAATATGACCCTTAGTTTTTTCCATGTGCTTTTTAACATATTTAATTTCCCCACCATGACAGTAGCATACTTAAGAGAATTGCTATTGTCTCCATTTTCTTTTTGTTTTGCTTTGCTTTTAGAAACAGGGTCTCACTGTTAGTGTTGGCTGTCCTGGAACTCACAATGTACACAAGGCTGGCCTTGAATGCACAGAGATCTGCTTGCCTCTGCCTACTGGGATTAAAGGCATGAACCACTATGCCAGGCTTGTCTCCATTTTATGAATGAAGAAATGAATGGGTTTGAAAAGGCCAAATCACATATTTGTCTTTTCTTTTTTTGGTGGGGTACATGGGATTGAACCTGGCCCTATATATTTTAATCCAATGTCCTGTCATAACACCAGGTTCCCCTGACAAGGTCTGTTTCTCTACAGTGATATGTACCTCAAATATTAGAAAAGACTAATGCTGTTAGTTTACAGACTATTTCAGGTCAGATCATTTGAAATTTGTCTGACTCTCTCTTTTATACATTCCTTTCACTTTTAATGAAGGTTTTATTGTGATTCTGGTGTTCCCTTAAAGTAAGTATCTCTTTATAGTTCAAAACTCATTACTGCGACATCAGCATGAAAGAACCCTCGTGAGAAGCATTACTCTCCAGTTCTGCAGAAGTTCAAAAGGCCAGGGCTTACAGAGACTACAAACCACGAACCCGGAACAGATACTGGCGATGCCTCTCCTGATTGCTATCTTCCAAATTACTGACCCGGCAGTGTAAACACAAGAAAACACAGTGAAACCCAAGTCCCCAATGACAACACAGTTAACAGTGAAGCAGGGCACCCACATGCCTGGAAACTGGAAGTTCCTGTACACACATTTAAATATTACCGTGACAAGCTCCACTGGTCATTCAGTCTCCAGGCTGTTACAGCACAGAGCCCAGACAATGAGCTGTCATATCTTAAAACCAATCTACTGCACATGAATGGAAAATTGAGACGTGAACACAGAAATTATGACTCTCATTCAACCATCCTCGGTTTGAGATCTGTACAAAAGGTCTCTAAATTTAAAAGCAGCAAATACATAGACCAGTGTATATGACAGGTGAAAAGTACTGGTCACTGGTTCTAAGCACGAATGTCTCAGTACTCCAATATCCGAACATGCTGCATTTTATCTGAAATGATAAGAGTAGACAAACACATTTTTCAAAGGTAACCTCATGAAGAGATGACCAAGCAAAGGGCACGTGTCAACACACTACTCACCAAAAGGATAATTCTGTCTGTGGATGGTTAGCAAAGGGCTAAGAACTGAGGGGAGCTCTTTCAGAAAAAAGCAGTAGACACAGCGAGATGACATTGTGACATTGGTTAAGAGCACCGGGTTTCTTTCCAGAGGACCCAGGCTCAATTGCCTGTCCCAGCGTGGTGGCTCACAACCATCAGTAACTCCAGTTCCAGGGGATCCAACGCCCTCTTCTGGCCTCCTTTGGCACCAGGCACACAAGCGGTAGACATACATATATGCAGTCAAATACCCACAAATATAAAATACTAGCGTAGATTAAAAATAGAATAGGTAACAAATTGCAGATGCAATATGAAACAGATGTATTTTCGTCATGCATCAGTTTTCAAATGTCACAGAATACCAAGAAAGTATTTTCCAATGCCTCAAAGGATCAAAAGTGATGCTAAACACTATGAAAAACAGAGAGTTATGGGGACCTGTATGAAGAACACAGGACAAGCATGAAGACTGTGCCCAAGAGTCTGCATCAGGGACAATGAAACCCACCGAAAGACCATCGTTACTTTAATAAATGCGATTAAGAGACTGAATTACTCTTTGTAAAGTTGCCAGATCGTCAACACAGAGCAGTAAGCTGTTGCTTTAGGAACCTTGTGGCTCATCATCCTTTAGCCTGTGGTGTGTGTGGGGTGCAGGGGGCTCCTGTGAGCTTCTAGAATCTACCTTACAATTTTCAGAATGTGAGTCTAAGGACATTTTTCTGGAGGAGTAAAACCAGAGTCTGTTTCTCCAGAGTGGCATGCACTTCAAATATTTAGAAAAGACTAACGCTATTACTTTTCAAAGTATTCAAAATAAATAAATAAGACTGGAGAGGTAGCTTGGTAGTGAAAAGCACTGACTGCTCTTCCAAAGGACCCGGGTTTGATTTCTAGCACTCATATGGCAGCTCACAACTGTCTACAACTGCAGTCTCAGGGGATCTGATGGCCTCTTCTGGTTTCCATGGGCACTGTATGCACATGGGATACATACATACATACACACATACAAACATACAGGCAAAACATCCGTACACATACAAAACTAAAGTGAATGAATGAATAAAAGACCAACCATCCTAAAGGCAAAGCCTTGCTTACCTGTACTCAGATACATACCTAGAACTTTGGTCTCACAAGTACTCTTAGGAAATGGAAAGCAGAGCTATCATAATTCAAGAGAGCATAAAGGCCTAGGAAGGATACTGATAAAAGTTCATTAATGGCTAACACCCATGGAACTCCAGTGTTGGGAGAACAGACTCTACAATCATCTGATAAATTTGAGATTATCCTAAAAGGTTTCTCTTTGGGCTGCAACTGGCATTACACACCTGGATAGACTTCTGTTGTATTTCCCTCTGTTTATTTTATTATTTGTTTTTGTTTTTGTTTTTTTTTTTTTTTTGAGACAGGGTTTCTCTCTGTAGCTTTGGAGCCTGTCCTGGAACTAACTCTGTAGACCAGGCTGGCCTCAAACTCACAGAGATCTGCCTTCCTAACCTAACAGTGAGGCCCAGGTCTCAGTGAGAGACTTTGTCTTCCAAAAATAAGGTGGATAGTTCCTGAAGAACATTACACATTGACCTCTGGTCTCCACACACATGAACACACACCCCACACACATGCATCTGCACACACACAAACACACGTACACCACACACAGGCAACAATCACTTTTCATTTCAATCTTCTGCACATATTTTTGTCCTGGCAAAATTCTCTACACAGTCATTTATTTATTTATTTATTTATTTATTTATTTATTTATTTTGCAATAGGTTCTCATGTAGCCCAAGGTGGCCTTGAACTTGTTATGTAGACAATGCTGGTCTTGAGCTCCTGATCTTCCTGCCTCTTTCCCAAGTGCGAGGTTACTTGGGAAAGTATCCCACCACACCCAGCTCTGCATGGCTGCATTACTTGTGATTTTAATCTGAGGCTTGAAAAGGGAGGTATCCCCAAACAGTTGCAGAGAAGGAATAAGGGTTCGAGGTGGCTAGAAGGCACTGTCTCTCCACAAGCAGAGTCTACAGGATCTTTCCTCAGTGAACTAACCTTCAAGCGAAAAGGAAGTGTGTTGGTGTGATTGATAACGAAAGCCGTGTCTGCAGGGCTACCATATGCTCACCTTGGGAAAAACTCCGGCAAAGGGAGAAGGCTGACAGCAGCCAAAATATGAGGAACAACTGGACGCGGCCGGTGGGTTTGCCACGAAAGCGCTCACCTGTGCACAGACCTGATGCATGACGTGACCGAACTCATGGAAGAAAGTCCGCACCTCGTCGTGTCGCAGGAGAGAGGGCCTGCCTGCTGCGGGCTGTGAGAAGTTGACCACCAGGGCGGCCACAGACATCATCCGGCTGCCATCGGGGAGAAGGCAGCCCGGCTGGAGGCCAAAGCAGGCTGCGTGGTTGTACTTTCCTTCCCTGGGAGACAGAAACAGAGAGCAGTGAAATAAATGGACACTCTTCTTTAGCAAAAACACGTCACGGCCTCTTCCAGGCATTACGTCACACTTGACACCAGAAGATGCTGTCACATGTTTAGTTTACCTTTTAACAAACAGGCCCCTTCACCCTATGGAAAAAGTAAAATTAAACAGTGACCCGGCCTTCTAAGTTTGTGTTTTACCTTGATCTTTGTTATATATGTTTTCTGTATCAGTTTTTTTTTTTTTTTTTTTTTTGGTCCCCTGTATTCCACCCCCCCCCCCCACTGTCAACAGATGCCGGTTAAAGAAAAGTAGTTTTGGCCATTATCTGGATGTGTAAAGTTGGGCAGGGACTTGTTCCTGTCTTGACCCTATCCTGGACGTTCTACAGATTCCAGCTTTTCTGAACCTACCAGAGAACTGCCGTGGAAGGGCAGAGAACAAGCCCACAGCCGAGCACAGGGACCTCCAAGGACAGTGGAGAGGAAGCACCCCCAACCCCCACACCTTAAGTTAGGGCAGACGCTACACACAGGGTCAGCGCTGGAGTAGACCGGACATGGAACAGCACAGCTGTACGTAAGAGAAACGCAGCATCGTTTGGAGTATTGGACCTTCCATAGAAAGGGGCGGGGATGGGCGCACACTCCGGGGACGTCATCAGTCAGGGAAGGGGGTGAAGCATCACTTAGGTGCTCTTTCATTTGTCTCCTACAGACCATGGGCCTCAACAGCCCCAGGCAGGAAGAGACCCTGCTGTTAGAACAGCAGTGCCAACCCAAAGCTCTTGGGGCACAGAACAGAAAACCTCCATAGGGCAGAGATACACCGCATGCTTGGACTTACAAGCGTAGATGAGGCGGGCCCACTGACCAGGCCCCACTCCTAAAACACGGTACACAGAGGCTACTCTGATTAAGGCTGATGCTGGCCAGCTGTGGTGGTGGCACACACTCGATCCCAAGTATCCAGCGGCTAAGACAGAAGGGTCACGAGTCTGAGTGCAGCCTGGGGTATTTAGCAACACTGTCTCAGGAAAAGATGATGAACAAAAACAACAAAGGAGAGACAGATGGTGGATCGCAGCAACGGAGTTTCCAGCCCCTCACCAGGCTAGTAAACAGCCAGTGACAAGTCATGGCAGCCCCCTGGTTTTAGAGAGCTTGGAAGAAGAGCTCAGAGACACAGCGGTAGTGGAAGAAAGTCATGAAAAATGTGGGCAAATCAATTCTAAAACACAATCTAAAACAAGGGGGAGTCTGCAGCACGTGAGGTTGATCAACCTACCTGATTACTAGGTGAACCAACACCCCGTATGAACAGTCTAGCAAAAGTAAACATGAGGCCAATTTTAGGCATAAAATTATTAACTTTAGTCTTCACTGTCCTGCTCACATGCAAAACAACAAGGTATCCACATTCACACATGAGAGCTATGAGTGCATTTGAAATGAGAAAATAACAAGGCTAAGGAGCCAAAAGGTTTGAACGTTAGTTAGGTATAGTCAAGAGGATAGATTTGGCAGTTAAAAACTATACGACAGACTCTTGGGAACACAGAGGATCACATCTGTAATTCTAGCACTCTGGGTATTTAACGAGCCCATCAGTAGTCCTGGGAAGTCCTCGTGGAGTGAACAGGAAATGTATAAACAGGTAAACAGAGGAACACGAGCATGCATGTCCTGTTACCTTGTGTATTCTTTGGTATACTACACCGTAAGTACAGGATAAGAGTGTAAAATGAGTATCAATGCATTGCAGAAACAATAGGTAAGTACCCTCCTAAAAAATCTTACAATTTAAAAGTTTTTATCTTAAAATTAAAGACTTTCTGCTAATTTTCAATTTCTCAGTCAGGCTTTAATTTTCTTTCTTTCTCTTTTTTACATATGTTTATTTTAAATGTACTTTTGTTACTTATGGGTATGTGCATGTCATTCAAGAAGGTGCCTGTAGAGACCAGGTGTTGAGTCACCCAGGCCTGGTCGTGAGCTGCTTGATGTGGGTGCTGGGAACTGAACTCTAGTCCTCCAGAGGAGTGAGCATCTCTCTGGGCCCTATTCTTTTCTTCTTGTTCAGATATATTTTTTATTTCATGAATGTTTACCAGAATGTATGTCTGCATACTACAAGCATGCAGTTCCCATGGGACAGCAAGAGGGTGTTGAATCCCTGGGACTGGAGTTATAGATGGCTGTGAGCACCAAGTGGGAGGAGCTGAGCCCAGGTCCTCTGCAAGAGCAGCCAGTATTCTCTCCAGACTTTGTTCTTTCCTTTTTAAAAATGAAGTTGAGGCTGGGCATGTTGGCATATGCCTTTAAATCCAGAACTCAGGAGGCAGAGGCAGGAGGATCTCTTTGAGTTTGAGGCCAGCCATGTCTACAGAGCTAGTTTCAGGACAGCCAGAGCTACACAGAGAAACCCTGTCTTAAAACAACCCCCAAACAAAACAAAATAAAACAACCAAACAAACAAAACTCAATTTGGTTAATTTAAAAATTACGTTCATTCTGAGATTTTGCCTCATGCCGTGTTTATAGAGTAATAATGGCTGCAAGTCTTTATCTGGCAGTTTTATACTGAAATCATAAGATTTTGTTTGTTTGAGAATCTCAGTATTTGATAAATAAAAATCAAATGTGATTAAAAAAGAAAAACACAAGTCTTTAAAGATTCCACTCTGATTACTGTTCCTGAGTCAGACAAATACATCAGTTCATTTATATTTTACCTGTATGCAGAGGCTGTGACAGAAAATGAGTATGAGTTAGGTCATTATTCTCACAAATGATTACTCTGTGTTCTCCACAAAGTTTCTGATAGCAACGACCAGATCTCTAAATATGAAACGAAGCAAGTACATGGCAGAGACACAGGCAGGGAGGACATTGTCCTTGGGAAGTGAGTGTGGAGACAGGCACCCAGAAATTGTAGTATTTAAAGACTTCCTGTTTCAAATCTTATTTTGTGTGTGTGTGTTTGTGTGTGTGAGGTATGTGATGTGTGTGGTGTTTGTGTGTGTGTTGTGTGATGTGTCTGTGTTTGTGTGTTGTGTTGTGTGTGATGTATGTGTGGTGTGTGTGTGTGTGTGTGGTGTGTGATGTGTCTGTGTTTGTGTGTGTGTGTGATGTATGTGTGTTGTGTGTGTGTGTGTCTGTGTGTGTGTTGTGTGGTGTGTGATGTGTCTGTGTTTGTGTGTGTGTGATGTATGTGTGTTTGTGTGTGTGTGTGTGTGTGGTGTGTGTGTGGTGTGTGTGTGATGTGTCTGTGTGCACATGCATGTGCTATAGCTCCTGGGTGGACACCAGACATCTCTCAGGAGTTCGTCCTCTCCTGCCACCTTGTGGGATCCTGGGATCAAACTCAGCTTCTCAGGCCCAAATGTAAGCACTTTTACCCACTGATCTATCTTGCTGACCAAGAGATTACCCTCTTGGGTATTCTAATAAAACTGTGTCTGACACCTGTGTATATGTGCATGTGTATATATATGTGTAGGTCTATGTGCATGCTTCAGATGTGTGTGGAGGTCAGAGGGCAGCTTGCAACAGTCGCTGTCTCCTTCCACTATGGCCTATGGCCTCTGTGAATCAATTCATGTTGTTAGCTTTGGTGTCAAGCACTGCTGGCTGTCCTGACGCTTTCTCTAAAAGCTTTGGGATAACCTAGGTGCTGAAGACATCCATGCCACAAATGTCTCACAATTCAGCTTCCTTCTGACCATCCAGGGCCAGTGGACTGATTACTCACCTACACACTTTGCTGAAGAAGGATCGCCATAATTCTCTTTGGTCTATTTAGTAAAATGGGTTAGTTATTGCAAAAAGTTGGGTTTGTTTTAGAAAGCAGCCTAAGGAGAAAAAGATCTGAATCTTTTGTGTTTGATGAAACATGTGGAGTTTATAGTTGTACACTTCAAAGAATACTATTTAAAATTTTATTCGTTACTAAATGGTTGGAATGTATGTATAATGCTTAGTGCATAAACAATCCTGTTAAGGGCCCTGAGAAATAAACATCTCGAGGAGGGTGTGTTAGTCAAGTGTGTGGGCTCCTTAGATTAGCACAAGGGCTCTGCCGTTCCCGTTTCACAGTGCTGCTCACTGAAAGGCCGAGGAGGACGGTGAGACTTGAGAGGACCTGGCTAATAAACACTTTGGGGGAAATTTTAAATTAAGTAAATACAGTAGGCGGCCATGGTGGTTGTAGCTAATGTTTTTTCAAAACTTATTATCTGGTCTGGGGAGGTGGTTTAGATATCCTGCCTGGTACATGTACACAGACACACAGACACACACACGTACACACAACTTTGTTTTTTAAAGAACTCAACTATATGCTATGCAGTCTTCTTCTAAATGGTATGACTGTAATCATGCAATTTACTCTTCACAATAATCCACATCTTTCAGGAAACATCACAGAAAGACTGAATAACCTGTTTCGTAAGGTATAACGCAGACAATCTGGCCTCAAAGCATACGTTTTAACTCCTGTACTAAGCATCACATGTAGGGAATATGCAAGGGTGGAGTCTGCTTGATTCTAACAGCCTGCCCAGTACCTTGGATAAAGGTCCAGGTAGAACTGTCCCAGCACTTCTCCAGTAGCCTTATCCTTCACAGTGTAAAGTGAAACGCTCTTATTCCAAACATGAGCATCCGCCACTTGCTCAAATGAAAGTCCCAGCAACTCCTGGTAGATGCTCAGCAAGCCGTCGGTGACCACCTCGATGGGGAAGTACTCCTTGAGGAACTCCTGGTCCACGGAGTACTTGAGCTCCTCTGTCTGTGTCATGTAGTAATGGAGATCCCACGCATTGATCTTTCCATCATATTCAAAACCTCGCTCTTCACATTCCTTCTTCTTCAAGTTCAAAATAAACTCCCGTTCTGCCTCACCCAAGGGTTTCAGTTTCTGGCTTAAATCATCTGGGAGGGAAACGGCAGAGTTAGGGATACATCCTTGGGATCAAGCGCATTCACATGGATGGCCAGTTTTGTACATGATCAGTCTGAGGAGACAGCACAGGATGAGGCAAAGCAATCTCTCCAGAGTGATCTCCTTGGTAACGCCCCCTTGTCTTTCACACCACCAAAACCCAGGCACATTTTCTTCCAAAGTCAACAGTGGCTAAGCCTACCTCAAGACCGCCAAGCCAGGGATATCACAGTTCAGAACAAAGCAATGGTAAGCTGAGCTTGCGTGCGCTTACTCCTCAGCAAAGGCTATGTTCCTAAATCAACAACTGCTCTGCACATTTGACCGTACTCTGGGACTTATGGAGGAGGAGGATTTGCAGACTGTCAGCTGAAGAGATTTGCTGGTCACCACAATGTATATGCTGTAGTCAAATTCTGATTATTTGATTTTAAAAATGGGCCGGACAAGCCCTTTTGTATTTCTTTTCACAATTTTGCTATGTTAAGATAAAAACGTGCTTGGGTCTGTATTGGACATGGGCTAGAGGAGGCCCAAAGATGTGAGATGGTGGCAGCTGCCCAAAGAATGCTGTGAAGAAAGAGCTGGGCCATCCTCCTGGACAACACACCTCAGATCTCACACGGATACCCGTTCACACCTCTGCTCCTTCCCCAAGGGGGCACCCTGGGGAAGGGACAGAGTCTGTGCTCCCACCATTTAGCACAGGGCCAAGGTAGTTATTTCCAATGTCTCCCAAATGCACAAATGAATTATAGGATACCACTGATGGGGTAACCTGTTTATAGGTTAAAATATGATTCCAGCATATATACAAGTAAACCATGATACGATTATTGAGAAAAAAATTAGTGGAGTGAGTTTGGGCTAGAAGCTGATTTCTTAACCTATTTTTATCATTTTAGTTTTATTCTGTAGTTTATTGAGACAGGGTTTCACACTGTAGATCTGTGGCTTGGTATTTGCTATGTAACCCAAGCCAGCCTCAAATTCATGGCATCTTCCTGCCTCATCTTCCTGACTACTCGGATTACAGGGGTGTACCACTGTGACCAGTTTCAGTTAATTATTAAATCAGTTCCAACTAACAACATTAATGAAAGACTATCAAAGGAAAGTACTTTTGATACTTTACTAAAGGAGAATAAAGTAGTTTAATAGCATTTTAAAGTTTGTGTTAGGTGTAGTAGCACATGCTATTTTATTTTTAAAATTTATTTTTCATTTTACATAATAACCCTAGTTTCCCCTCTCCCCCACTTTCCACCCCCCATTCACTCCTCAGAGGGAGTAAGTCCTTTCTTGGGGAGTCAACAAAGTGTGGCATATCAAATTGAGGCAGGACCAAGATCCTTTCTCATGTATCAAGGCTGAGGAAGGTATCCCACCATAGGTAATGGGCTCCAAAAAACCAGTTCAGGTAGCATGTGCTTTTAATTCCAGTACTCGGGAGGTAGAGCATACATTTGTGTATAGTATTTATGCATTTGTGCTCACATGTGTATGGGCATGTGTGTGCAAGCCCAGAGTTGACTCTATACTTTATTGAAGCAGAGTCTCTCAACTGAACGCTTGCTTGTTACCTGGCTAGCCAGGCTAGCCTGTTTGCCCTACAGATGCCCTGCCTCTGCCTGCTGAGTGGGGGATTACAGGTGGCCACCGTGATCGCCTGGCTTTTACATCGGTTCTAGGGATTTCCTTCCAGCCCTCATTTTTAATGTAGTAGGCATTGTTTCACTGAGCCATCTCCCTGGACCAGAAGCCTTCATTGTTGCTATTTTCTCTGCGACAGGGTCTCAATAGGTAGCTGAGACTGGCCTAGAACTCACAGAGGTCTGCCTGCATGCTGCCTAGGCCTGGTGGCACAGCCTTTAATCCCAGCATGCAGACAGATGTATTAAAAAAATAAAAAAGACAAAGTGGATATGACTACAGATATTATGTAACATTTTATGCACTCTATATTACCTTTATATATTAAAAACTAGACTTTGGTGGCTAAAGTGCCAGTTTTCTATTTATATATGCTGTTTCCATTTTATACCGTATCTCCAGCTTACTTCATGTAAATCTATCAGTAGCTACAGTACAGTTTTAAAGACCTAGTGACAGTGAATTAAGGCAGTGAGGTAAGCCTTCTAATAAAAAACCACTATGTGTAAAACGTAGAGTCAATGTCCCATCAAGATATGAGACAGACAATCCCAGCAGTCCCAAGAACTGAGTTCATCTAAGGTAAAAGTGATCAGCACCCTTCTCCTGAAACTAGGATGTTCTCGAAGGCAGCCTAGGGGCCTAGCTGAGGCCCGCATTAAGGTGATAGTATGTAGTGAGATAGATGTCAGAGGGCAAAGGAAACACAAACCACACAACTGACCCAACATAAACAAAGGACTCACCTAGAAAGGCTGCCACATGGCTTGTGCTCTTTGCAGTGTTCAGTTCAAGGACAAAGTCGGCGTGGGTGTTATAGCCGAGAAGTCTGGCCACTTGTGCTCGCAGCGGGAGGAGCTGTTGTAGAATGGCAGTGTTCTCCTAGTAACAAGAACAACACCGCAGAAGAAAATGATCAACGGGATAAGAACAGTTACTGCACCAGAGAGGCCGTGAAACTGCCAGCTAGTTTTAGACTGTCTTAACTACTGCTTCCATTTCAGCCCTAGAGAACTTCAAAAATCCGTTATATTATACCTGAAATAATTTATAACATTGATACTTTGGAGACAGCTATGAGTTCTTCATAAAACTGAGGAACTATAAACTCAGGGCAAAAATATGCTTCATGAACTATTGTGACTTCTCACTTATTTTCAATTATATGAGTACCAAATACCCAGAGGTACAACTTCCTGATGTGTCTGCAGCAAATTATGCACAACATAAAACTCAACACTTTAACTTGACGCCAATTTCTTTTGCTATTCTGTATCCACACGTGGAGAATAACGTGCTGATAAGGATGGAGAGAAACTGGTACCCTTGTGTATTACTGGTGAGAATGTAAGTGGCTCAGGGGTTCTGCACAATGGTATGGCAATTCTTCCAAAGTTCTACACAGATGGCTGGGGATAGGGCTGAGTGGGCACAGAGTCTGCCTGACATTCATGATCCCCAGTACAACATGAACCAGGCATGGGGGACATGCCTGTAATCTCAGCACGCGGGATGTGGAGGCAGGAAACTCAGGAGTATCAAGAGTGTAAAGCCAGCCAGGGCTATATGAGAACCAGCACCAACAAAACAAAACCCCAAAACCAAAGCCAAAAACCCTACAAAACTATCATGTAATCCCAACTCTACTTCTGGGCAGGTATTTGAAAGAACCGAGAGCAGACACACAATAGGTATCTATAGATACCTATGTTTACAGACTCACAACAGATATCTGTAGATTCCTATGTTCACAGACACACAATAGATACCTATAGATACCTATGTTCACAGAAACACAACAGATATCTGTAGAACCTATGTCCAAAACAGCATTATTCTATAGTAAAACCATGGTAACTCAAGTGCTCAGTGACAGAAGAATGGGTCAAGAAAATGTGGTATATAAACACAGACACATAATTAATCCTTAAAAAGGAGGGCATTCTGAAACGATTCAACATGGCAAACCTTTATGATAAGATGCTAAATAAATATGAGTTTACAGACATGGGAACAGAGCAGGGAATGGGAAGTTAGTTTATTATAAATGCAGCATCAGTTAGATAGCATGAAATATTCTATGGATGGGGTGTTGGTGATGGTTCCAGAACAATGCACATACACTTCATTCCACATGTTACTGTCTGAAGGTTCCCCTAAAATATGTCGAGAATCAATTTATATAGCTGTGGTCCTAAGAGATGGGACCCTTTAGCACTATCCCCACGAACTTATTAGAGGCTTACAAGAGTGCAGCTTAGATACTTTTTGCCCTGTACCCCATGATTTAAAAGGGTTTTTCCTTCTTCCCTGTGAGCACACAGCATCTTGAATTTCCTGCCTCCAAAATAATAAAAAATAAATCTTGGTTGTTTATAAATTATCTAGTCTATAGTATTTTGTTTAAATAGCATAAATACCACGGTATATATTTAATATTATTTTCATGGGCTCTTTCTCAACACAGTTTTTTCTATTTGGTACCTGTATATTTGGGAACACCACGTCACACACACCACACTATTTGTTTTGCTTCTTTTTGAGATGAGGTCTTACTATGTGGCCCTGGCAGGCTTAAAAGTCACTATGTATTCCAAGTGCAGGCTTCAGAATCATGGAAATCCTCTTCTTGGTGTCCTGGGTATTGGGTTAATATGTGTGTGCCACCAAAGCAAGTTATTTTATTTTTTAACACTAAAAACAATTCTTTTTATTTAAATTTTTTAAAATTTGTTTTATTATTATTATTTTTTTCCTGTGTGTGTATATGAGTGTTTTGCCTGCATATATATATATATGCATGCACTGCATGTGTGCCTGGTACTCCAAGAACCCAAACAGGTCATCAGCTCCCCTGGACTGGATTTATTGATGGTTAAGTGTCCTTGGCCATCTCTTTGGCCCTGGAAAAGAAATTCCCAAGATGTCCAAGGAAAAATTATTAGTCCCAACAATCAAGTCAGCAAATTATTTACTGACCAATTTCTTTTTTGTATATGCAAATTTTAAAATAATTTACTTGTATGTATGTGGGGAAGGTTGGGGAGGGGGACATATGCAGACTGCATGTGTGTGGAGGTCTGAGGACAACTTTCCGGATCCGGTTTCTGCCTTCCACTTCGCTGAGGCAGGGTTTCCCCTATTTTTATTGCTGCACTGCATAGAACAGGCTAGCTGGCCCATGAGCTTCCAGCACATTCTCCTGCCACAGTCCTTCCTCACCCTAAGTCTGCTGGGATTACAAGTGTGCCACCGCAGCTGGCTTTTTGTGTAGGCTGTCAGGCTTGCAAGGCTAGTTAGTACCTTTACCCACTGAGCCATCACCCCCACCCCATATTTTCTTTCGTGTGTGTGTGTGTGCTCACTCTGTAGCCTAGGCTAGCCTCAGGCCTCCTGAATACTTGGCTTGTAGATGAGGCTAGCCTCAAGCCTATTTCATAGCTTGACTTACTATGCTTCTGATTAGTTTTGTAAAGATGTACTGTGGAATATGGAGAATGATCAGAATAAAATGCTGCTGTAACAAAAATGAAAAATTTACAGAAGCAGAAAGCGATTGGAGGGAGACACTGCAGGCTGGGAAGCTGGCGACACTCACTATACAATGTATCATTATAATGGGTAAAATTTGCTGCAGCTTATTGTTTGACACAACTTTGAAGCTATGCCACCTTGCTACTAGATTTTAGTTCTTAGGTCTTAGAATTGCCAGGGGAAACTAATAATGCTTGTCACTATGTGCTACTTTTAGAAAAATTTACAGGAAAGAGACACGCTCAAAGACCTGGCCAGTTTATAGGATGGAAAATGGAAAGGACAACTGGAAAATGGAAGGTCATGTTTGGCTAAGGGACATCTGACTTGAGGATTCAGACCTTTGGAAAGCCAGGTGCTCTATATTCCTAGTATCATGTGAGTAGTTACTCAATATAAATATTAATTGGTGAATGGTTACTCAATGTAGAGATTAATTTGTGAATATTGCCTACTTCTTTCTTTTCCTTGCAAAAGTTTCCCTTTTCCAAAAGGTCCCAAAGCAGATGAACAAACATAGGAATGAATCAGCAAATAAGATTTGGTAGGAATTAAGACCAAAAGCAGTACTTCAGTAATTATTTTAACTGTCTAGAAGTAAATGTACATGAAGCTAAGTTTTTAAAGAAGTTTTATGACCAAGGATATGCAAAACACTGTGGCTATTTGGTTCTTAACCTAACCTTTGTATTTCTAAGTGGCCAGCAAGACTCTATCCAGCAATCCCCTAAGACACGGCCATAGAAGAAACAGTAAAGGAAGAATCCCCTATAGGCAAATGTAGGGAGCATGGAATACAATTGGTAAAGGACTTCTTGGCAGATCATTTTTGAAAACTTCTATACATCTCCTGTGTACCTGTACCCCCTCTGCCTTCTGCTGTCTGAGACAGGGTCTCAAGGTGTCCTAGGCTGGTCTGGAGCTTGCTGGCTTCAAACTCACAGAGAGCCATCTGCTTCAGCTGGGATGAAGTGTGTGCACTACCCCACATGGCTTGGCTTTGTCCTGCATCCGTTCATTCGCTCCTGTGTGATCATTCTGTCCCTATTCCAGTGCTTGCCGTGGGTTGGAGGTGAGAGAGCTAATTACCTATCCTTCCTTTTGTAGGCTGCTACATCACAAGACCAAATGGGGAAGACTAAATGGCAGAGATGCTGGTGTTTGGGCCCAAGACAATAAAAGACTGGGTCCTGACACATGGTTTATGAAAGAAAAGCATTCAAGGCTTCTTGGGTAGCCACGACTATGGGTAAGTTGATCCAGAATCAATTTTAATTCCCTCCTTTCATAATAAAACTCCAAGTCTAGCAAATAGTTGTCAAACAAAGACCACATTTCTCAGGGTCCCTCCCAGCTATATGACTATATACAGAGCCTGCGTCAATGGCTATGACTAGAGTTGATGGACGCTATGTGTATGTCCTTTTTTTTTTTTTTTTTTTTTTTTTAATTTTTGAGATAGTTTTTTTAAAGATGTGTGATCTGCACTTTTTCCATTCTTTCCAACAGACTGAGGAATAATAATTTCCAGAATCTACCTTGGTAGTTACTTATTAAGGAGGGAGAGATACTTTATCAGCTCTTGACTTCAAATGCAGAAAATGAATACTTCTTGTTTGTTTTTTCCCTGTTCTATTTTCGTAATGCAGTCTAACTTGTGGCACGTCAAGCAAACTGGCAGTGAAGAAACAGAAAGGCTACAGTCTTGTGGGTGCGTGGGACGAGTAAATGCGACACACATGCAAACAGGAGCTGACTTCAACACTGGCAAACAAAGTACATCCTCTCCTTAATATCTTCGGTTAGGATCAAAACAAAGACATTTATTTATGGTACCTGCTTGCACCTTGTATGAAAAGCCATTTCCATCTTCCTTCTCGTTTCGGGGATGCAGCATTTCTTCATGACAGGAAAATAGTGGGGATACTTTAAGGTAACTTTGTACTTGTCATCATCTGTTTTTTCTAAACTGTCAATGAAGTCGTCGGGAAGAGCACCTGCAAAAAGTCATCTTCTCGTGCATCAGTTTCCCACGTGCTCTGCCTTACTTTGCACGGGCACTGGTGTGGTGACTGAAATCCAAGCGAGGGGACAACTGTATAACCTCATTTGGATGGTACTAGAATAGGGAAGGCAGTGATGAGCCAGGCGGCTCAAGAAATGACAACTGGAAACAGGAAAATGTTTCAGGGCACCTGGGAAGATGGTATTTTAACAAGCAAAATTAAGCCCCCAAAATTGAAAGATCCCAGACAGAGTAAGAGACTAGTTTACAGTGTGGGAGTCATGGAGAGGCAGAAAAAACGGCAGGGCTGAGGCTGCTAAATAAACACCAGTGTAAGTTACCAAGCATTAAATCTGGGTCCTTGGCAAGGGCAGCCAGTGCTCTTAACTACTGACCATGTCTTGGGCTCTAATACTAGACAACTTTTAAATTGTTAAAGTACTCTTTGGATTTGAATTTAGGTTGGAGCCTGCAAGGTGACAGAATTTAATGTAGCAAAACAACAAAAGTTTACCAAGTTCAGCTTTGGAAAACACAAGGAAAGTGTCATCCTCGTTGAGGTTTTTGTTGAAGTCAATGCAGAGTTCACTCATTCTTTTCTTCATTGATTTGATTTCCTGGAAGGAAGGAAGGAAGGGAGGGAGGGAGGGAGGGAGGGAGGGAGGGAGGGAGGGAGGGAGGGAGGGAGGGAGAGAGGGAGGGAGGGAGGGAGGAAGACAGTCAGGGCATTAACAATGAAAAAAAAAAAACCTTTCATTTTCATCGCTATCAGCTACCATTCCACTCACACATGAAGTCAGGATTCTAGCTTCTCTCAGAAGTCCTTTGCTAGAAATGACTCCTGCAAAGCAGCTGCTGTCAATCAGTCCAGCACTGCCTAAACACACTTTGCTCAACACTGTCTTAGAACATAGCTGTTGCCTCCTCAATCTCCCCCACCCCCACCCCATTCTAGAGCAGCCACATAGTTCAAGTAGAACCTGATAGTGAACAGTCTAGGATCGTGTCCTCTATACCAATTAGGTCACACCTTACCATTTTCCTTCAGTAATGACTGACTCCAATAACCCACCCCTGGCACTCTAATAATTCTGTAAAAGTCCTGGGTAGAAGAGCCAAGAGATGATAGAGAACCACAAGAAAAAATATACCATAATCTCATTTTTCTGACAATGCTGGGTAATGAAATCTACTAGGCACAAAGTAATTCTCAAAGTGGGGCTTTGGCATAGCACCTACTGAGCAGCACTGAGACCCAGAGGCAGGGTTCTGTGTGTGTCTGCAATGCTGGGTTTAGATTTGGCCATCTACCTCTAAAACCCTCCAACTTCCCTAAGTTACTTAAGTGGGATTCTGTTTGTTGCAACTAATCATAGCTTAATTACTACAGTTTTCATGCACCCATGGAGTGAAAGGGTCAAGCGAGTGACACCAGCCACCTAATTATGCTGACCAGGAGACAAAGTGATCAAAGAGCACTCCGGTGGCAGAAAGGTGGTGACATCTCCATGGCACCTTCAACTCTATCTTGCAGGATGACATCAGTCACCAAATAAAACCGGGTTTGAATGTCTGTCAAACTTATTTCCAGTTCTGCCGTCCACAGGAATGGCCTGGAAGTAAATCATGAATTATATTTCCTGTCCAAGAAGAATGAGGTTAATTAGGCAGTTGAATTTATCACAGAACCTGGAAGTTTTGATTTCACCCACACAAGAAAATGTCTGCACATTGCTTTTCAGGGGCTAATCTCCTTCATGTAAGGGGAGTGTATTAATCACAGGATATCCTACCTAAAGTGCTGCCTTCCAAACTCTCTATCAGCACAGGTTTTTATTATGCACATGATCTCTATGTGATCGAGAGGGAGAATACAATCAGCTACTGAAATAGGGATCTACTTTTTCAGAATTTTATAAAACATAGCAAAGGATATAAACCTGATACAAATAAAATAAGCAAAACATGGAGAGGATTAAACAACAGCAGGGTTGCCAGGAATGGTGGCACACATCTGTAACCCTAGCACCCTGAAGGCAGAGGCAGGTGGATCTGAGTGTGAGGCCAGCCTGGTCTACATAGCGAACTCCAGGTCCAACAGGACTACATAGTGAGACTCTATTTTTTAGAAAGGGGTGAGCAATTAAGTTATAAGTTGTTCAGTTACTAATGAGGTTAGCAGAAGTTTTCAGAGCTGAAAAGGGGGCTGGGGAGATGACTCAGTGGTTAAGAGTGCCCGCTGCTCTTCCAGAGGACCCCTGCTCAGTTCCCAGCACCCACCCTGGCCCGCTGGTGATTGCAGCTCCCAGGCACTGGGTGCTCTTTTCTGGCTCCTGTAGTTATCAGCCCCCACAGACACACACATAATTAACAAAGGAAAAGTAAAAGAGCCTGGTATCAAATATACTGTAAATGGATTTTTATCCTGAGTTATTCTATTAACACTCATCTCTGCCTATTTGTTGGTTCTGCTGCGTTTTTTCCTCAAATAAGAAAATGATAGGGGTAGAGGCGGTTAATTAAAATAAATAAAATGCATCTTAAACATATGTAAAATTGTCAAAGAACAGAATTCATTAATAAATTAAAAGAAACATAAACTCACATTTCTTATTTGCTCTGAAAGATGGAGTCCATTCCTTTTTCCCATTTTAATTGACTTTTCCAAGTATCGCCTGGCTTCGGGCGTTATCTTCTCCAAATCACAGTTTTCCTGAAATTAACAATCATGTCAATCATTTCTGTTCTAATAGAACACAGGCAAACAATCAGCTCCCAGGCCAAAGCCTACATACAACATTCATCATCACACAGGCGATTATGGGGCAGGCCCTCCTAAAGACCGAATTTCCTTTATGCTTTGGTGAGCTTCTACTAAATTAAACCAGAAATACTGACTCAATCAAAAGCTAAACAGCAGAGCCTTGCCCTGCCTCAGAACTAAGACTAAGCCCTGGAAAGCGTGTGATAATAGACACATTTGCATGGTCTCATTCTGAGCAGTCTTTCCGAGCAGTGCTCTTTATACAACAGATTTCCTAATGCAAATCATCTGGGTTTAGTTTCTATCATTTGTTAACCTGGTTCCACTTGAAATGCAGGAAGAGAAATAATGGGGTGACTTCTGCACAAATGCTGGCAAGGACTCTCTTGTCAAGATCCCAAACACGGACAGCTGGATAAAACCCCAGCAAAAGGTTCCAATACTTCAAAACTGCTGTCCTGACACTTGGCAAGGGAGATCAAGGGACTCCAGCAGGCTGCATATGAACAAGCATCTGGGGAAAATGAGTCAGCACCCCACAAAAACAGAAGGGAAGCTGCTCACCTCCAAGTCTAAACCTGTATGCAGCAGCAAGGCTTTCACTCCAAAGAACAGAAGGCCCTGGAGAGGGCTGGAAAATTCTCCCAGCCAGTGACAGGATAGTGGGGTGTACCTAAGGTGGCCGGTCAGCTCATGGACCCTGGCAGGAAATGTGACTCCAGACAGACTCAGCAGGTACAAAGGACTCACTCTGGCTGAGGGACAATGAGAGCCGTCTGTCACCGGAGCTTACAGAACCTCCTGTCAGTTGGCCATTTTCTCCATGAAAGACCAGGGCCAACCACCTCAGAGCTTGCCAGATTTCCCAACTGATTAGAGTTTTAAATGAAGGATGTTCAGTTTTAGAAATGGCACCTGAGGGGCTGGAGAGATGGCTCAGCCGTTAAAGGCTAGGCTCACAACCAAAAACATAAGAAATGGCACCTGAGATGTTGGTGACAGGCAGGTAAACAGAGTCGCATTTTTACTCAGCACCACTTAGAACAGGAACAGTATTTCACAATGCCTATCAATGAAAATCGGTGTCACAATCCCAACATTACTCAGTGTTTCCTCAGTTTATTCTCAGTGGACAGTAAGGACAGTTAGACTCCTTTTTCCATCATCATCCCCCTGTGTCTCTGTGGAATTGTGAGTTTGTGGTCATGACCGGAGTCGCAACTCTCCTGAGCTGGTTTTGGCACCTGCTGCGATCCCAGCGGCAGGAGCCTGAAGAAGCGAAGAATTTCTAGGGAGACAACTTGGCTATGGACTGGTTCCCACAGGGATGGTGAACAGTTCAAATCACAATGCGGATGTCATTAACTGGGGCCCATCTCACTGGTCTCAGTAGCGCCACAAAGTCTGTCCTGAAGTGTAAACACGGCAACAGGAGCCTCTGGACAGTACGACTTTGCAAGCTGTAAGGCAGGTTCGGGTGGAGGAGTATGTAGGCCATACCATTAGCAGTATGGTGAGCAGGGCCTGGCAAGAGCTGGGCCTTGTTAAGCTGAGGCTGAGACATTTGGTCCTAAGCTTGGAACAACAGCTAATAACACGGTCTCATCAGCTGGTGTGAGTGGCATCCATGGCTACTCCATGACTGTGAGTTCTCACGGTAGGTCTGCGCCTCTCTATCTGCAGGGAGACACGCAGGAGCATGCGTGGAGCATTCACAGTCTACATTAAAATGAAAACCACACACTCTCAAAATGAGCAATACAAGGTCAGACAGGTAGAAGGATATTCTGAGGGTCCAATTAAAGCCTCACCAATTAGCATACTGAAATACTTAGCTCACCACAAAAAACGACACTGAACAAAAATCTGACTCAATAATCATACCTCCCTGGCACTCAGAGTCTGAGGTCTCAGGAAGTTTCCACAGACCTACGGGAAGAAGACACGGGTGGGGGAGTGCACTTCTAAAGTGTACTGCTGTGACAGAGTCAGTCATGGTATTACTGCCTCTATAATCCCCAGTAACGGAAAGCTGCAATGCTATAGAGCAGTGGTCCTCAACCCTCCCAATGCTGTGACCCTTTGATACAGTTCCTCAAGCTGCGGTGACCCCAACCATAAAATCATTTCCTTGCTACTTCATAACTATAATTTTGCTGCTGCTACAACTCATAAAGTAAGTATCTGATATTCGACCCCTGTGAAAGGGTTGTTTGACCACAAATAGGTCAAGACCCATAGGCTGAGAACCACCATTTCTAGACTGTTCTGCAGACCTGCAACCCTCGAGCCACAGCTGCCTCACCAGTCTCCTGAGGCCAAACTTTTCTTCAAGGCATCTAACATTTAATTTGCATGATCTGATAGTAGGGCACACTTACCTGTGGGGATAAGATTTATTTTCCCCTAACCTCCCCCTCTAACAAATAGTTTTTATACGTGTTCATGTTTCACATGCCAGGTATGCTTGTAAAACCACATTGTAAAGAAAACTGAGGTCAAATTTAAGATTTTCCCACGACAACACAGATGTCTAACATGAAAAACAGCAGAGAAAATTTCTTAAAATGCTTAGTTTACTGATTTTTCCTTATTACTCCATCATCAACTTTAATTCATTATAATTCTTTAAAGACTCATAATAAAAATAAGATTTTGTTTTAGGACAGGACCTCACCGTGTAGCCCTGGCTATCCTAGAACTTTCTATGTAGACCAGGCTGGCCTGGAAGGCCCAGAGATCTGCCTGCCTCTGCCTCCCGAGCGCTGGGATTAAATGTAAATGCCATTCCATAGTAATTTAGTTGTTCTTTATTTTATTCCCTCAAAACCTTTTCTCCTTTAGCCCACAATTTTGTTTTTCCCTTCACAAGAGCCTCATACATCTAGTTTTTTGTTGTTTTTGATAGTCTCACAATACATTGCTGGCTAGCTGGGAACCCTCTAATTCCTAGAGATCTGGCTGCCTTTGTTTTCTGGGTACTGAAATTAAAGTCATGGGCTACCATGCCTGGCTTGATATTTTGCCTGGTTTTTTGTTGTTGTTGTTTCTGGTTTTTGTTTTTTTCAAGATAGTTTATTTGTGCAGTCCTGGCTGTCCTGGAACTCACTTTGTAGACCAAGTTGGCCTGAAACTCACAAAGATCCGCCTACCTCTGCCTCTCAAGTGCAGGGATTAAAGGCATACGCCACTATGCCTGGCCCTAACTTTTTTTTTTTTATAATGTTAAAAGAAGAAATCATGATGCTGAAAAAACTTTGAGGGCTGTTCCTGTGAATGCTATCTAAAAAATGGATTCATAAACTGAATTTGCTAGCATTCAAAGACATCAGAATGTTACTGGGGTCTACTGCACATACTAAACAAGGGGCAGAACCTCATTATTGCCTCCATTTGCAGTTTAATTCCTGCCTCACCCCGCCCTGCAACCAGTGACATTTACTGTCTTAGTGAGAGATGCAAGGCAGATGACCTCAGGCAGAGGTCTGAATTCCTGCCCTGGAGGGATGCACAACAATCTGCCTGATGGCCAACATGGCACCACACTCCACCACAAGGTCCATCCAGGATATGCCAAGTATTCACCACACCATACGTGCACGTGAGGACACTGAGCACACACTACACGGGACACAATATACTGTGTGTTCCGTTCCACATATATTTGCTGAGTCCCTACTTATCTCAGACTCCAGAGGAATAAGGAAGTAGCTTCTAAGACCTTTAAGTCAAGTGTAAACCAAACAGTTGACTAACAAATAGATAATGTTAGTATTATGTACTGTGAGGGGAAAAAGGTACCTGGACAAGAGAGGCACAAAAAACTAAAGCAAGGGCACCAAGCCATGGCTGATGCTGACAACTTCCATTTGCAGATGCTGGGCAACCTATGCAACAGACAGATGTCCTCCATCTGCGGTAACACCTTTTTAGTTTTACCCCTGTAAATGTGTGCAAATATCTATGAGCAGCACAAAATGGCATGCTGTATGCAACACTCAGCAATTTCTTTCATCATTGCTAAAGTCCTACTGTTACATGGTTGCTACAGTTTATTCTGTTCGGTGCTATAAGTTTGTTTTTTTTTTTTTTTCTGATGGAAACCTGGGATATGTCAGTGCTTTGCCTTTAAGATGCTGGTATGATGTTTGCCCAATTTTGCCTGCCCACAAATTCAGAAGGACCTTTGGCTAAGTCCTAGGTCGGATGGAGGAGGCTATGCTAGGTCAACTGGAACTTAAGATCAGCTTTAAGTTATTAAGTTTGTGTTCAAAGTCCATAGTTGCTCATATTTTTGATGAATTCCATCCACCCCAGCACTGCATGAACAATCGCACTGACTCACACCCTCAATGCCTCAGCTGGCATCTTCTGACCTCTTCATTTTTGCCAATTTCGTCAGTGAAAAACAGTAATGTATTGTGGTCTTCATCTATATCTCCCTGATTACTAATGAGGCTGAGCTCTTTCATATGTTCAGTTACCAACTGTGCCTCTTCCAAATTATCTCTTCCTGTCACCTCGTATTTGCACTGGAATGTCTCTCTTCCACCTACCTTAGCATGCTTTGCTAGTACAATGCCTTGTCATTTTCTCTAGCATTTGTCTTTTTGCCTTGTAATAAAAGTCCTTCGTTGCAATGCAGTTAAGCTTAGTGTGATGGGAGATGCCATTATGTATATATGTTTCTCATACTGGTTAATGAATAAAGCACTGTTGGCCAATAGGAAAGAAGATAGGAGGGACTAGGAGACAAGGAGGAAAGAGAGCCAAGATGGAGAGTCTGGAGAAAACAGTATGCCGGCTGGCTCCCCGGTAAGAGAAATTCATAGATCAGCAGAAATGGGTTAATAATTAAGACAGAGCTAGCCGATAAGAAACAAGTACCTGGCCAATAGCACTGTATCTAATACAGAGTCTCTGTGTGCGTTATTTGGGGCTGGCGGGAC